ATCCTATCAGAACCACCACGTCCACCACCTCCAGAACCACCCCCACACCCACCACCAGCGCAGCCCCTCCCACCACCACCCCGCCTGGCCGCGGCAGAAGTTCTACATAAACAGCCACGCCTCCCATGCCGCCGCCGCCTCCGCCGTTCCCAGGCCCCCTCCCCCTTCCGCCGCCGCCGCCGGCAGCTCGAATTTCTCCTGCCTCTCGGCGTCGGACTTCGCGGGCCGCCGCTCCACGAGATTCGTCTCCAAGATGCACTTCGGCCGCCCTAGGTCAAACGCCTCCTCCCGCCACTCCGCCGCGGCCGAGGAGGCGCTCCACCACGCCGTTAACTGCGGCGGCGAGGTAAATTCCCTGGATAACGTTTTACTCAGTTTCGAGTCGAGGCTCTGCGCGTCTGACGATTATACGTTTTTGCTGCGTGAGCTGGGGAATAAGGGGGATTGGACGAAAGCCATGAGGTGTTTCGAATTTGCAATTAGTCGCGAGAGGAGAAGGAATGAGCTTGGTAAGCTAGCTAGCTCGATGATTAGTACCCTTGGTAGATTAGGGAAAGTTGATTTGGCAGAGAAAGTGTTTGAGAATGCTGTGAATGAGGGTTATGGGAATACCGTTTATGCTTATTCTGCTTTAATCAGCGCTTATGCAAAGAGTGGGTACTGTGATGAGGCTATTCGGGTGTTTGAGAGTATGAAAGACTCGGGCTTGAAGCCTAATTTAGTGACCTATAATGCTTTGATTGATGCGTGTGGAAAAGGGGGTGCAGATTATAAACGTGCCTTGGAGATTTTCAATGACATGTTGTCTAATGGGGTCCAACCAGATAGAATCACTTACAATTCACTTCTTGCGGTTTGTAGTGGTGCCGGGTTGTGGGATAGTGCACGGCGTTTGTTTGATGAGATGATTTATAAAGGGATAGATCAGGATATTTATACGTATAATACTCTTTTGGATGCCGCGTGCAGTGGGGGCCACATGGATGTCGCTTTTGAGATCATGGCCGAGATGCCCGCGAAGAATGTATTTCCTAATGAGGTGACTTACAGCACTATGATCCGTGGGTGTGCAAAGGCGGGTAGACTCGACAGAGCCCTGAACTTGTTCAATGAAATGAAGTTTGCAGGTATTAAATTGGATAGAGTGTCTTATAACACATTACTTGCTATTTATGCTAGTCTTGGTAGGTTTGACGAGGCTTTTGCTGTCGGTAAGGAGATGGAGAGTATTGGCATTCAAAAAGATGTTGTAACCTACAATGCTTTGTTAGATGGGTTTGGTAAACAGGGAATGTATGATAAGGTGAAGGAACTGTTTGAAGAGATGAAAAAGGGGCGCCTCTCTCCAAATTTATTAACTTACTCGACTTTAATCAGTGTTTACTGTAAAGGTGGTTTGTACAAGGAGGCTATGGATGCCTATCGAGAATTCAAGCAACAAGGGCTGAAAGCTGATGTTGTTTTCTACAGTAAATTGATTGATGCCTTGTGTAAGAAGGGGCTGGTCGAGTCATCCGCCTTGTTGCTTGAAGAGATGATGAGTGAAGGTATTTTACCTAATGTGGTGACTTATAACTCGATTATTAATGCCTTTGGTCAGGCAGAGAGTTTTGATAGTTTGGAGTCGCGTTTGGAGACCTCGAAATTAGTGGTTCTTCAGAATGCTGGCGGTGGGGAAGAGAGAGAAGATGATAGAATTATAGAGGTTTTCAAGCAGTTGGCTTTTGGAAAATCGGGTAATAGGAAGCGTGAGCAGATGGGGAGAAAGGACTTTAGATGTGTTGTGGGTGTTTTCCGTAAGATGCATGACATGGAAATAAAGCCCAATGTTGTAACCTTCTCAGCCATCCTTAATGCTTGCAGGTATATATACTTGCTACAGTTTTGGAATGCTTGCACATTAGTCCTTCTCGTTGATTATTTTCCACTCACAAATAAAGCATTTTCTCAACTTATTCATAAAAAAATCTTCTTTCAACTAATTCAACCTCTAGCCTTTTTCCCCTGCAAAAAAAATAAATTAAAACTTATTATTCTCAACGTCTTTTATGTTTCTCTACAATAAAGGTGAAGGTTTTTACTTTTTTGGAAGCTCGAAAGCTTATTTCAGTCAAGCTGAAAGCTTTTTTATTATAAGCTATATAGATTGTAGAGTTCCATTGGTGATAAAGTTCCAAAAATTGTCTGTGCTTGTAGCCGTTGTAGCTCATTTGAAGAAGCTTTGTTGCTGCTAGAGGAGCTGCGTCTTTTTGATAATCAAGTGTATGGAGTTGCACATGGTCTTCTCATGGGATACAATGAGAACACATGGTCTCAAGCTCTTTCACTTTTTGACGAGGTGAAGCGGATGGATTCTTCTACAGCATCTGCTTTTTACAATGCTTTGACTGATATGCTGTGGCACTTTGGCCAGGTAACATACTAAACGAGTGAGATGTATTCAGGTCAAGTGTGTCGTACTTAGAAATATTGTGTTAGAAAATGTTGTGCCTTTCTTAGACAGTGTGTGATTCTCAGGCTCAATTTGGTAAATGAAGCTTCACTTTTTCCTGTACTGA